AGAATAAGCAAAAATACAAGAAGTTAGCAATAACAGAATTAATAAGGGAGCAATATAACTAAAGAAAATTAATTATCCATTCTTTTCTTAATAAATTAAAAACATTTACAAAGTCATATTGATGAAAAAAGATATAACATCTATTCATACTTATTTTTCAGCTACTTCTCGTCAGAGCATATTATTTTATATAGCCATAGTCTAATCCATAAGGGAAATTTAATGGATTATCAACTTCTCTTAATTTGCTCCACAGTCTTATTATTCATTGTTCATTATTAATTTAATTAATTCAAAAATAATGACTAATCATAGCTTTTTTATTTGCAAAAAATCTGTTTTTAAGCAAAATAATGGATAGTCATTGTTCTTTGTTGTTTGTTTAGAGTATCTTACTTATTATAAAACGCAGATTGTGTGTGTGTGTGTGTGTCTGTAACGTTTATATATTGGATCGAATTTCCTACATTTTTTAGCCGATTTCAACAAAACTTCACAGGACTACATAAAATTACCTTGTGGTGGTTCTAACGGCGCCGAAAATGGGAAAAACATAATTGTTTTTTACCAAAATGAATTTGAAAACACGATTAAGACACATCGTGAGAATGAAAGGGGGACAACTCACCCACGAAAATGTAAACAAAAGAGCATAGCATGATGAAAAAAAAAGCGAACTTGAACGAAAAAACAAAATTTTTATCGTCTAATGTTCATATTATTATTAAAGAGGAAAGATCAAAGTATTTTTTGGGGTATTTTTTACATTTTTTAATCGTTCCTAGCACGTCTGAAATTTTCGTTAAAAGTATTGTTTTATTTTGGTCAAAAAAAAAAAAAAAGACAGATAATCAATCATTTTCAATCATTTTTTTCAATTTGATAAAAAGATTAAAATCTGAATTTGATATTCTTTTAAAATCAATTATCATTTTTCAAAACTGATTTTAATAAAAACAGAAATTATACTGTTTATTTAAAATATTTTGAACCAAGCTTAACTTAGCTTCTGCGCCGAAAAAATGTAATTTGAAAATAAAACAAAGCAGGTCATAACCTTTCGCGTCGCTTGACGAAAGGCACATTCATGATGTTTAGATAACTTACGGGAGGATAATTCTTTCTACAGATAGAAGGAAGTGAAATTATTTAAGTGAACAAATTATTTACCTCGTTACTTTTAAGGAAAACTTTCAGCGCTCTAATTTTTTATTTCTTTTTTTTTTTTGTACTTAGCTTTCATTTTTACATTAACGATGCTTTATGGAAAATATAAAGAAATTAAAAAATAAGACTGTTAATAATAGTGAGATTAAATTTCATAAGAAAAAGGTATCTAATTAATTTAGGTACCTTTCTTATGAAATTTTATCAGAAGTGCACATAAAATACTATAATTTTATGTACATTTATTATATTTTACTGTGTTATTTGTATTTCCATTCATTTTATTATTAATTTTGATATTTCATTTATGGAAAAATGTCATAACTGAGATTAATATAAAAATAAGATCATATAAATTAAAGTTTAGCAGTAGTTAAATTTCATAAGATGATACTGTTACTTGTAGGTACCCTTCTCAGTTGAAATTGAAAACTCAAATTAACTTCTCCATACGTGTTTCATTAAAAGTAAAGGGCTTAACAGTGGAGAACAATGCTGAACTCAAATAATGCAACTAAATTGTATTCTGGTTGGTCTTCCGTACTTGATAATTACTGTCCGACTATAAACACAAAAAAATTACATTTCTTAATTACCATGGCTAATCTGATTGGTCCAAATTATACAATTTTCAAAGCGCTAGACAATGACAATCTCACACGGACATTTTGAAAGGCTGATGTTGCTTTTAACTAATGTTAAAATATTTTTAAAAATTCAATTTAAAAAGTTTTGAAAAATCTTTTTAAAATTAAAGAAATAAGAAATAATTGTATTAAAAATTCAATTTTCATTGAAAAAATTTTTTGCTTTCAGAAAATATTGTCCATACTCATAAAAACAAATTAAAACAAATAAAAGCATTTGAAACTAATATATTTGTTTTATTGAGTTTTGTATGTTACAATTCACAGCTGATTTTCAGGTACGTTGGCCAAAAAAAAAAACCAAAAAAAATCATGATTTGCATTCTTCAAAGCCTTGAGCTTTTAACTATTGTAATCACTAAAACCGATGGTCTCGAATTTCTAGAGTTTTTCATAAAATTAGTTATGAGGGTGTTAATAAATATAAAAAAAATATTTCTGCCATGACTTTAATAAAAAAAACATATTTATAATAATTTCGATCATCTGTGAATAGTTTCTGAAAGTTTCATTAACATCTGACAATTATTTTTATTTTTGCAAGATTTTCCAAACTAATGTGTGTAAATACAAAAAAACGCGCTAAAAATTATCTATGTTATTTACTACCCCTTGTTGTGACAAAGAGAAACAAGGTTTTTTTTAAATCAAAATTTAGAATATTCTAAAAAGATGGAAAAATTTTTTAAAATAATTAAAAAAATAATTTAGTCTATCCTCTTCATAAAAACATAAGCATTTTGACGATAAAATTTTGTTTTCATAAACTTTTAGCGTCTTTTTTCTTCAGACTATGCTCTATGTTTTAGCGATTCCGTGGAGTGACAAGTTAAAAACCCAGGTTGTGTGTGTGTGTGTGTGTTCTTTATATATGGGATCGGATTTTATACATTTTTCAGCCGATAAAACAAACATCCACTTATTTTTTTTGGCAGGTAGTATTTCTTATTGTCTTGCACACTTTTTTCTTTATTTATACATTCAGAATGCTTTAAAAATTCCATTTACAAGACAATTGTTTATAATAAAATTCTAATTCTATTCAATCGGAGGACTCATCATAACGATTGAAAACAACGTTTTTGTTTGAGTTTGGGTTTGACCAATTCGTAAAAAAAAAAAAAAAAAAAACTAAGACATGCGTGTCCGTCAACCTAAACAATAATCTAACTATCTCTACTGATTGTACGAATGGAAAAATCGGATAATTCTTTATCTTTAGGGAAAGATAATTCCACGTACTTTAGGGCCGTTTTTACAATTCCCTTTGCAATTTGTTACAAGGCAGATCAATAAGGCATTGGTTCTATTTGAAATTAATTCAATATTTAAAAGAAAGTATTAAGAAATAATTTAAAAATGCCGACGTAAGAAATCTGATAGACAAAAAAACAAAAATATTCCAAAGATGATAATTATTAAGGAAAGAACACGGTACTTGTAATAAATTAATAAACCCAAATAAAGTTAATATTTTTTGTATTAGAAACGAGTGGAAAATATATTCAAATCAGAATTCTAATTATGAATCACCACAAGCAAAATATGCAATTTTTTTTTACTGTATTCAATAAGTAAAAATCATAAATTGTAAAAGATTACAGAGAAAGGCTACCTACATTTTTCAACCGATTTCAACAAAACTTCACTTTTTTTTGGCAGGTAGTGTTTCTTATTGTCTTGCACATTTTTTTTCTTTATTTTTACATTCAGAATGCTTTAAAAATTCCATTTACAATTGTTTATAATAAAATTCTATTCACCAATCGATAGACTCATAACGATTGTAAACAATGTTTTTGTTTGAATTTGGGTTTGACCAATTCGTAAAAAAAAAAAAAAACTAATTAAGACATGCGTGTCCATCAACCTTAAACAATAATCTTTGTCAATTTTATTTTTCAGTCTTTATGATGGTCGATACTTGATCTATCTCTTACTGTTACATCCCCGGGCAATGCCAGGCTCTACTGCTAGTCAAAAATATATGAAGAAAAGATACAAATTTGTGGAACACTTTTAAATTTATCACAAAATGAAATATATTTCATTTAATTCTTTTACTTTTCTATTCATTGTATATTACAAGAATCCTCACCAGAATATGACATCAGACCGTTTTGAATATGAAGCAATTGTACTGGACACAGTTGGTGAGCCATGTGAATATAAGATCGCCATTTCTGTATTCATAAATTTTTCAAATCTTTCTTCACAATCAAGATGTATTTCTGCAAGTAAAATCAACAGGTTAATATTTTTTGCAATGCAAAGTTTTTTTTCTATGATAAAATAACTTTTTCATATTAATGAAAGCAATTTTTTTTTATTCAAGCTCATATTAGAAATGGTATGGATAATCTAATATTTATGAAGAGTTATTTGTAACAGATTCCAAATTTTTTTTAGTATAAACAAGAATTATATTCAAAATATGAGAATATTTGAATGTAGTCTATATTGGATTTCAGTTTCATTTTGGTCTTTTTCATGTTTTCAAATAGACCATATCACAGTTCTTATATCAACTGTAAAAACACCTCAAAAATCCTTGTATTTAAACTGGGAAAGATGAAAATCTTAATTACTAATTGTTTTTTTTTACTTTGTCATTATCAGTAACAATGGAAGCACTCATACATAAAAATAATGATCATGAAAGCCAAATTCTTTCCAATGACATTTAATTCAGATTTGGGTATTGTGCTTTTTTGGTTCCAGAAATTGATTTTGGATTTTTTCTCTTATTTTAAAGCAAATTTATAAAGAATTTCTGTAAATATTATATATTGCAAAGTGATAAATCTGAACATGCCATGCAAATCAAGGACTGAGTAAGTAATATGAAGGTAGATACTCAAATGAATAATTAATTTCACTGCATTTAGATACAACCATCTACATTAGACTAAGTGAGGCTTATTAACATTTGTCACTTACTCAATGATTGGTAAAAAAATATGAAATAATAATGATGAAGGAGAAATAAAAAGATTGAAACTCAGTGAAATGAGAAATTCTTTTTAAAAAAAAAAAAAAAAGACAGTTTATTTTTAAATTTTGTCTCTTACTTTCAGAATTTTGATCTGTTAATAAAAATAAATAAGACTTTGTACAATTACCAAATGTACCATAAAATCCACGGGGACCACATGTGCCCACACCCCAATATCTTAAAGCTTTTACTGCTTCTGCCTGAAATGATATGCAATTTTATATTTGTAAATCAAATAATTCATGCCATGAGAATTGTATTTGAATCAATTATTGACAAACCTAATCAAATTTAACCAATAAAAAAAAAAACAACATTTGATATTTTATACATGAATCTTTATATATCCTACCTTTCCAAACAAAGAAATTAGAAATTAAAGATAACATATTTAAAAATTATTTTCAGCTTTAAAAATAAACTATATTATTTTTATCTTAACATGAAAAAGAATAAAAAAAATATAATTTTCTGTTAATGTAATGATTTCAGAGTTATTTTTCTTTGTATAAATAATAACTAGATAAATGATATCACAGGTAGGATTTATTAAGCATTTATTACTTGTATTCATAATTTATATCGTGACACAACAAATACTAAAATACAAGGAATTAAGTAGATACCAAAATTTCTATAGTAACAACGAATAGACATATCAAATATAAATGCAAAACGTTTAATATCAATGTATAAAAATTTAATATTAATATATCTTATGCAAGAAAACTTCTGTAAAATATTAATTTCAAAAATATACCATAGGGTAAAGATACATTTTATTTGTTCTCACAGAAAAACTTATAATAGCCCATTCTTGATCAGTTGGTCTTAGTACAAGATAAAGAAGGTTATTCACATGGTTATGAATTTAAAAAAGAAAAAAAAAATCACCACATTAACACAAGGGCACAAAAGTGAAATTTGATGATTACTAAATACAAGGGGGTGCTAATAATTCCTCAGCATGCTCAATACGAAACCTGAAAGAACTCTAATATAAATCAGTAAAGAAAAGTAAAAAAAATGACCAACCATTAATTGTAAGACATAATGCATGATTGTTTGCAAAAATAGCAACCCATGTTGTGAACAACTTATTGGGAACATCAAAATAAAGCAGGTGCAGAAATTTATCTAGTGAGTGTAGTAACAAAAAACAGAAACATGCAAAAGAACAACAAAAGATGCCTTTCAGAAACTAAGCAAAGTACTAAGGGATAGGAAAATCTTTGTTGAAACAAATGAGTGCTGAAGTGCTATATAATGTATTTCTGTATGACCACAAGCGCTAGACAATCTCCTCACAAATGAAGAAGAGATTTGAAGTGACAAATGCTAAGAATATTCTAGACAGAGCATGTGACTAACAAGGAAGTTTTAAGAATAGAAACTACAAGGAATCTGCTATTGGCAATAAGAAAGAGACAGCTGTAATTTCTGGGATACACATAATAAGGAAAGAAAACTTGGACAAGTTAAAACTTACAAGGTGTATAAGAAGGCAAGAGAAGCAGGGAAAAGTAACCCTATTAAACAAGTCTGAGTAAATGGTTAACAGAAGGACTAAAAAGACAAAAAAGGGTGGTAAATGATCAAGAGTTACTTCAAGCAGCAAAATACAAGAAGTTATGGAGAACCACGTCCTTATGAAAGAAGAATTACCTCAAATAAGAATTCTTTTTATCAGCTCTGAAAAAATTACATAAGACTTCTAACAAAGCAGGAAGTTTAAAACTAATACTAATTACAATTAATGTCAAGTGCATTAAAATCATATAATTTAAAACTGTGTAGATTAAATTCAAAATTTAGAGATAAATGATGAATCAAAGATATATTTTCTATATATTTTGAATAATAAAGATTTTAATGTGAACAACAAAAGTTTTAGCAAGCAAATGTTTGAAACTTAAAAAATAACTTAGTAAAATAAGAATTTAAATTTGTTTAGCATTTTTTAGAAACAGATAAAATTCACCTTTTATTCAATTTAAATATTTTACATTGCTAAATTCAATGTGCTTCAACTGAAAAATGCCAAAAAGTTATAGAAGTTACCTCTACCATGGGAATATCCTGCTTTAATGCACAACAAATTGGTATTTGAAAAATTACATTTTCAAAAAAAAAAAAAAAAAAAATCAAAATTTGAATAATAAAGCATAAATAATATATTATTTATTGATTGTTTGTACTCATGATTTTTTCAAAATGTACCACATTACCTCCATAGATTTATTTCCTAGCAAGCCAAGGAAATTCCATGTTGCCATATTCAAACATTTCTGTCCATTGATCAAGATATATTTGCCAACTTTTCTAAATAAATATCAAAGAAAAATTTTAATTACATTACTAAAGGAATGGGGAGATTTTATCATTATTAATGCAACCTTAAAATGTAATTTAAATCTACATTTAAATTTTAATTGTTGTACTTATATAAAATTTGTTTTTAAGCAAAATGTTTAAAGAAGTATTTGTATAACTAATATATATATATATATATATATATATATATATATATACTTTAAAAATTAGGAGATCAGTTGATTCTGCTACCTTGATTTCAAGGTATCCTCAGGTGATTTATATCAATTGACATTTTTTTATTTTTATCAATTGCAATAAGCCTTACAACAACCACAATAACATTAACAACCTCTACCAACAGGAAAAATAATGACATTTCCAGATCCAAAGAACCTTTTGAAACAGAGATCCAAAATCATGAGTTGTTGCATACATACAAATAAATTCCTCTTAAGCTCATATGAGATTGGATAAAAAATACACAGATTTCAATTAACCTCCTATCAATACATTTATAATACATTTATAATACCCTTGCTTTTCTTCTCCCAACTTCTTCAAGCCCAACATCATGCATTTCTTTATTTATTTTTTTTTTAAATAATATAGCGTTCATTGTTTTTTTGTTTTTTTCAAAATAAAGCACTGGGAGGTCAATGGATAAAAATCACCTAAGGATACACCATATGGCTGAAACCAAGGTAGCAGAATCAACTGATCTTCTAATTTTTAAAATTAAAAGCTCTACATGTATTTTTTTTTTTTTTTTTTTTTTTTACACACACTTTTTAATACCAGTTTCCTGGTCTAATTCAACTCTGACCATTAACCTTTATATATATATATATATATATACACACACACACATATATATGTATGGCACTAACTCATTCACAAGTTTTCAAGTTTAACATATATATGCTTAAAATTTCATCAATCAAGAAAGCATCAAATATTTTGGTGATAAACATAGTAAATACCTCATCAACTTACAGTGATGCTCTTTTTTGCTCCATTCGAACCAATAACGGATGATTATCACTGGTCTTAGGCACTAAAGGTTCTGGATTGTATTCCTTAATTAAATCAATTTTTTCCTAAGAAAAAACAATAACAATATAAATTATTAGGAGAACATTTTAGTTGATCACACTATATTGCAGCTCAATAAAATTTACCTTTGCTATAATTGGTTACTTCTAAATAACAAATTATATGACTTAAAACACTAAAAATTTTTAGCAAATTCAGAATCAACAGGAGAATTTATACTGGATAATTACTACTTTCAGCAATTTTGCTTAAATTGATTTTAGGCTGTGTGAACAAAAAGCTTTTTATCACATCCATCACATACTTTTAATGACATACTTTTAATGACATACTTTTAATGACATACTTTTAATGACATACTTTTAATGACATACTTTTAATGACATACTTTTAATGACATACTTTTAATGACATACTTTTAATGACATACTTTTAATGACATACTTTTAATGACATACTTTTAATGACATACTTTAACTTACCTTTTATTAACTTTATTCCACTGATTTATTTACTAAAGCTATCTTAGCAAAAATTTGGAGCACCCAAAAATATCACTCTTGCACATTAGCAATGGGAAACTTAAAAATTTAGGGATTTCTTATTAAAGATTTGTATTTTATCACATATTTCAAAATAAGGTTTCCATATCTAGTGATAAACTGCTAAAGGTAATATGTTACAGCGAGGCACAAAAATATTAATTTCGAAGTGAAATAATCTGAATAAAATGATTTTAAAATTGACAAGCTTACCTTTTCAGTAAGAGTAATTTTTTTCGATCTTTTGCTGAACAGCAAAAAAACAATTAATATGATGAGAAGAGATTCAAAAAGAAGACGATGGACACAAGTCTATAAAGATAAAACAAAATTAATATTAATATATATGGCATGGAAAATAAGTTCATTACACACTGTTGCATAAAAAAGTAAAGGACTTTGTAATTAGAGATGCTACAAAATATGAGATAAGAAAAAAAAGTTTAAATCCATTGACTGCTGTCCTTTAAATACTATATATATATATATATATATATATATATATTTGAATAAAAGACAGACCACGTTAAGATTCCATGTAATAAGCTATTTCACCATAACCCCTTTAACAGGGTTCTGGATCATCAGACTTTACTTCCAAAAGCTGAAATGAAAAATGAAAAGAAATTCACACGTTTTTTAACGGACCTCATCAAGTATACGCAAGTTAACGAAGTGAGGAAGTGAGGTGGGAGAGGATATGAGTGTGTCATATGTATCATTTTAGTTTCCTATTTTAACCCCAGTGTGTTGGCTGGATGTTGCTCAAATTTAACGCGTCTTGTCTCTAGATAAAGGTGGCTAAGGGGTGAATGATAAGAGCTACATTAAAGGAAGACGTTACAACAACCCCAATAAATTACATGACAGGTTTCATTCAAATTCTTAGACGCCTAAGAATTCTTAGCATCTAAGAATTTGAATGAAACCAAAGAGGTAAGAGAGAGGGTGGCCCATGTGAAAGAAAATAAGGTGCTGGTTCTGCAAGGAGCCAGGACACCTGAAGAGAAACTGCACAAAAATAAGGTGATAGGTTCTGCGAGGAACCAGGTCACCTGAAGAAAAAACCTGAAAAGAAGGTGCTGGTTCTGCAGGGAGTCAGGTCACCTAAAGAGAAGCTGCCTGCAGAGGATTGGGAGGGACAAACTGAGAAAAACCCAGCCAAGAGTACCCTGGTGCAGGAGAAGCTGATCGGGGATTTCCTGTAATAATGATAATGGGAGATTACTGCTGCCCAGAACACGTCTGGGTGGGCAGAGAATTGTCACCCCAGGCGAGGGATAGGAAGAGTGTTCTTTGTATTAACACAAGAAAGAGAGCTCCCTTGTGAGGCAATGGTAGGAGGTTAAGCAATGAAGGACCTGATAGATACTGGGGCATCAGTCTCATTGCAAAGGGAGAAGGAATACAAACATTTGAAGAATCAGGAGTTGATACAGAAGGCAGACAGAGATCATTCAGGCGGACAGTAGCCCCATAAACATAAAGTGGGGGAGGATGATGAAACTCCTAGTGAGGATAGGAGAGACAAAGAGTATCCAGAAGTTCTATGTAACCTCTGATTTATGTACGAAAGTAATACTGGGAAAAGATTGGCTTCATTGCCATGCGGCTAGAGTTTAACCCCACTGAATTAGTAGTAAATTGCATAAGGGCACCATTAGGAGGCCCACCTGAAAGGCCTATGACAGTGGTGGTGGTGGTGGAAGAAGACATAAAACTACCCCCTAAAATGGCAGTGTCAAGTAAAGATAGGTTGGTGACAGGGAAGGAGGTGAAGAAAGAAGTTCTTTAATTGGTCCCTGTAGAGAAAACGAGCCCCAAGGAAAATGAAATAACCTTGTGTGAGACAGTGGTTGATGCGGCAGAAATAATGCCCATAGTGTTGGCAAACCAGACCAGCAAGACAGTAAGTATAAAGAAAGGGGAGGATGTAGGAAATTGCCTTATCCCTGAGGACTATACAACAAGTAAAGCTTTATGAAAGGGAAGATAGGTGTTTACAGCAGGTAGGAGGAATAGAAGACAAAGAGATAGAGGCCCCTGATAGGTATAAGACCAGAGTGGGATTCCTGCTGAGAGCTAACTGTGATGTGGTGGCCAAGTCAGACAAAGAGTTGGGCCAAACAAACACGGGTGAAAATAAAAATTGATAGGGGTGACCCCCACCACCACCACCACCACCACTACCAATTAAGTTGAAGCCCTATAGAACCCCTTATTCATAAGAGAACCCTGGTGGAGGAAGCAGTCAAGAATATGTTGAAGATGGGGATGATTGAGAGGTCAGAATTCCCCTGGAGCTTCCCCATAATGGTGGCGGATAAAAAAGATGGCAGACACTGGTTTTGCGTAGACTTTAGAAAACTGAATGCTATTTCCAAACCCTTGACAGTGCCCTTGCCATTGATTAACAACATATTGACCCTGTTGGGGAAAGCTAAATACTTCTCCACCTTAGATTTGAGATCTGGATACTGGCAGATAGTCCTTGATGAAGCTGATAGAGAATTTGCGTGTCACATTTACAGTCATGACATTCAGCATGCCCTAACCCATGCCCCAGGGATTTTCCAGCAGCTAATGTCAATAGAGCTGGGAGGAATGGAAAAGTTTGCTACAGCATACTTGAACAACATTCTAGTGTTCTCAGAGACACTAGAACAACATTTTGACCACTTGAGGCATTGTACTGGGATCCTTACGAAAGCATAGGCTAAAATTAAAAACTATCAAAGTGCCAATTCCTAAAGGAAGTAGACAAAGTGCCTGGGATTTGTAATATATGGAAAGGGGATTAAGCCCAACTTGAACAAAGTAAAAGTAATCAGAGAAATGCCCGAGCTCCAGACAGTGAGGCAGGTATGAGTATTTATTGGGGCTATAGGATAATACAGATGTTTTATCCTGGCATTTTCTATAATAGCAGCCCCTCTAATAGCTTTGACAAAAAAAAATAAGCCCAATTTAAGTTGATGGAGGACTGCCAGAAGGGTTTTTACACCCTGAAGGACCAGCTGATCACTGTCCCCTTCCTGATAGATTTAGCATATATGGCTGCCAGTGAGCAATGTATATAAGTGGTTCTTACCCAGCCATGCCGCGTATACCAGTGGAAGTAGCAATATACTTCCCATCACATAAGCTCTAAGAGACACAGCAGAGATGCCCAAAGATAGAGGCATATGCTATTATATATGACCTCCAGAATTTAGATTACTACTTGAATGGAGCCACATTTACCATAAAAACTCTCCAGCATTTACTAGAATATAAAAAAGTGACATAATGAAAATAATTATTTAAAAAAAGTGTCATGAATTAATGTTAAGATTATATAAAATAACATGAAAATATACAACAAATGATGTCAATGGTTAACAAATTTTCATTAACCTTTGACATGGTACACTAAATGCAGAAAACAGTCAATTTTTTAGCTTTCATTTTTTATTATATATATATATATATATATATATATATATATATATATATATATTAGTGGTAAATATACACATACATATGCAATCATATATCTAAAATATACAAATATATACATACATACATACATACATACACATACATACATACATACATATATATATATATATATTTGTATAAAAAATAATTCCAAGAGGATAGAATCCAGGTAGAACTCAATAACTTGCTTGTAACTGTGTGATTGACAGTTACAAGTAAAATCCTTGTTCCTACAGCTATGGTTCTCTCTAACATCTAAATTATGATTAATTTATTTCATTTTAACTTTTTCTGAAACCAAATTATATACTGGTCATAAAATAATATAATATTTTAAGTCAGTATGAAAAAACTGACCTCAACATGACTAAATTGGCACCTATAAAGCATGGTCCTTTGAAACCTCTTACCATTGCAAATATATTGGTGGCTTTTCATAGTAGTTGGGAATTCTTCACCAATACAGGAAAACCAAAAAAAATTTTAAGTTATTTTTAATCTCATATCCAGTTTTTTAAATTATTAGTGTAATTATACAACATGATTATTACCGATAAATCATCAGCAGGTGAAAATTATTTACTACAAAACAATGAGATATCTTTTGAGACATTTTATAATTTTAGTCTTTATTCATACTACTGGCATATAATTTGTTAATAATAATGTAAACCTTTGTTGCTAGAATATAACCATTGGAAAAAATACATATTTTGAGGCTCTTCTGAGTATTCATTACTAATTTTAATTAACTATTCTTGTAATTACTATTAAATTTACATAATTTTTTTAAAACAAGAATTATTCATTTATTTTACAGTATGCTGCACAAGGCTTCTACAGGAATAATGCTCAAGCCATATTACATCCATTTGTCTGTTACTACGGAAATGCCAAAGATCTGGAACAGATTAATTTTGTAATTATATCAAACTGTCTCAAGCATGACACAGTTAACTGTTTATTCCAAAGATAGTGTATAGAAATGAAAAAAAAAAAAACCCTTAATTTTAAAATAGAAAAAAACAATCTATTTCTCAGGTGGTGCTGCTTCACATTATAAAAATTTTATCAATTTGTGCAACCACTGGTACTGACTCTGGTATTGACATGGAGTGACATTTTTTTTCATTAGAAAGAACAATGTGATGGGTTATGTGGCACTATTAAGAGATTATCAGCAAAAGCAAAGCCTACAATGACAATATAATGAATAGATAATAACACCAAGACAACTGTTAGATTATTCAAGAAAAAGCATTTCAGACATAAATATTTTATATTCCTCAACAACTGAATGGACAAATGAAGTAGAAATCTTAGAAAATAGATTTAAAAAATGTCTCAACAATTACAGGAACTCAAAAAAAAACTTCCTGGGTCTCAGGGAAAAAAAGGTAGAAATAAAAACAGTGTCAACTCAAGATGAAAGTAAAATAGTTAAAATTAAAATCTGAAAATATTAAGGGATTTGTTACAGCAATCAATGACAGGAATTGGTGGTTAAGGTGTGTTCTTGGAAAATATCTTGATAATGAAGAGGTAAAATTGACATTTTTACAATCAAAGAACCCTCCCTCATCTTTCTGTTATCCATTATATCCAGATATATTAATCTTAAATTATTCTGATATTCTTTGTTTAATTGATAAGTTAATAATTTAGATAATGATTTAGTTGATAGTTAATAACTGATGCTAGAAAAATATAGATCTTTCAAAAATTGAGATTGAAAAGGACTTCAAATATTTTAGGAAAGAGAATTGAAATAAGCTTAAATAAAAATACAATTAAGGTTGGTCATCACAAAAAATGAGTGAAAGGTAAGAGGC